TTTTTTTGACTCTACAAGGATTCTTCCAATATTGTATCAAAAAAAAAAGAAGAAATTATAAATTTTCTCCGTATAATAGTAGTAATACAGACTATTCATGCCAAAATTGTATTAGAGTTTGTTGTAAATTATTGTCTCGTGTGGTGTTCAATAGTTACCGCCCCTAATCTTAACTAAAAATTATCGGAAAAAAAGGAAGTAAATTGACAACAGTCATTATTTTTGTTTCTGTTTTTTTGTAGCAATTGTCACTTGATTTATATTTGGATACTTTCGGAGATAGAAAAGAGAAATAGGAAGTCCTTGCATAAATAGGCTTCGACATGTTATTGTTTTTTATTTTTATTTTTATATAAACTATATTATAATCTCCCGAGTTTTATTAAAATAAAATGTAGATCCTCTAATGTTTGAGAAATGACATATGTATAAGTTGTAACAATAACACCCCCTTTTGTTGGTATTAAAAACTAAATTTTAATTTTTTTCCTAACTTTTGATTAAGTTGTTGAGTTCTTTGAACACAACTAATTGAGGACAAATGGTAATTTCTTTACTGATTTTCACTTAAAAAACTCCACAAGAATGTCGTGGTCATTTTTAAACCCAGATCATATAGAGCGAGAAAAGGGAATGACAATGAAAATGAGCGCAAAAACGACAATTGTTTCTTTAAAAAATTGAGAGTGAGAGTATCTTGAAAGCGTTGTATTATATGCATGTCGACACACATTAACCAATAAAAGTTAAGAAAAATAAAATGTAAAAAATTAAATTTCTTACACAACTATATGAAACTATTTAAATTTTGCATATATGTCGGTTATAAGGTCTTAAAACAACACTTATAAATTATAAATATCATTTTAGTTTGATCTATACCTTTAGTCATGAAAATAAATCAAATTGTTCCATAAAATAAGTCATATAAGCGTGAAAATACGTCAAATTTGCGAATTAAAAAATTATATCTGCAAATTCCATAAAATGAAAGAGTGAACTCGCGGCCGAGCACCAAAGGTGCTTAGACGAATTTTGTGACCAAGTTTTGAACTACTAAGGATCCATTGGTCATTTTATCAAAAACATAAAGAGTTGGTGAAATTTGTGAGTGATTTTACGAATTTCCCCGGTCCGAACACATGATGTCCAATTGTGATAGCGCACGTGTATTCTCCTGCAAGGCTCTATGGTCTATTCTTCTCCTTTGAATAATGTGTCATGGCCTTCAAGCCCGGGCTCGACTCTGGTTAATTCGAGCGGCAAAGGAGAAACATCATGTGAGGGTATATCAAAAACCTTCGGTTCTCTTTTCAAAAAACTAGCGAACACTCTATCTATCTTTCACCAAAACAATCCAAATCAGTCCCTAAAACTAGCTTCAGAAGGTCATCCGCCACAAATTTCAACAAGCCAAGAACAAGATAATCAAGAAACATCATGTGAGGGTACTACAAGGATTTCTACGAGAGTGGTTTTCAATAATGGAGAGCCTAGTCTGTATTATTCTCCAGAGGAGACCCATAACCTATCTAAAGAATTTAATCAAACCCTTATAGGTAAGTGTTCTTATGGGAAACTTGAAAGGAATCATATAATAAATGCAATGAAATTTAAAAATAATAATTTGATTCATCATACCAAGATCTATTCATGTTTAATACAAACTGAGAAATCTTAAATCTATAGAGAAGATTAAGAGTTACCTCTTGAAGCATGTTTTTAACAATCTTCAAGCATTCTCAAAAACTTTAAATCTTCAAATCTGAATTTGATCTTTATCCCAAGCCTTGCAAATATTTGGCCTCTATTGGTATCCATACGAATTGACAAACTTGAAGGATCTACTTCAACCATTGATAAAACTAGTAGAGAGAGAGAATGAGGGGTGATTCTTCTTGTGCTAGTAAGAGAGCTGTTATTTTTATATCTATATATTAATTCACCTCCTACATAAAGGTATTTATAGAGCTTTAAAGGCTCTAATCCTAATTTGGGTCAAATTGTAATTATCGCATAATTACATAAAATCCATTTATTAACATTAATTGTAATAAAGTCCCTAATTAACTCTTAATTAAGTTTTCACCCCAATTAACTCTTAATTGGTTGTCCCTCTTTTATCCTTTAGTTTCCAATCAATTCTATTATGTGTGACCTTATATGTTCAAGCATACCCGATCGTAGGCATTCGATACTAACTACAAGTAGCATCTCAAATTAAAACTCTTTCTAATTTAGCTTGAATTGGAACTCTTCTAATTATCCCTTTATGAAGAATAATTAATATATTTATATTAATTCCATTCTTCACTGCTTCTACTAATCATGAGAAATACCTAGTAGCATATCATGATCAACCTCTGGATAGCGCGAAGTAGGTGAAGAACCCATTCAGTCTATAATTGTCATGCAATTCAATTCTTCTATCACACAATGCCCCAATTAAATTACTAGGGTATGTAATTACTCTCAAACCCCTAATTCAATCTTATTTGTTCGATCTTAGGACTATAACTCTTAATAATCAATTAAAAACTATTTTCTAATTGTCATTCTGCCTTGGCCAATGACTCTTTGGGTCATATCCCAGAAGATCACATAAGACATTTTTCATTTAATTACTAAGGATGATAGATTCTATTTTATACACTCATAAGTCTTCATGCATGCTTAATTATGTCTAACAATACATATCCAAGTTACATGGTTAGTATATGAATATGTTGTATAGTTAAAGCATAGAAGTTCATGCACAGGACAATCATGGTGTTTCAAGTCCAAAGATCAGTTGTATAACTATAATTTTAGAATTTGACATTGACGGACATGTAAAACTCTATATGAAAAATTATTCGTTTGTCAATGGTCACGTTCAATGCACTTGTTCTCTAACAAACACCCACACACCTGCTTCAGTGTCCCAACACTAGTGACTTAGACGAGTCACCTCATATCAAATATGAGTAAACATAGTGTGTGCTAGTCTATCTGGATTACTTAGTGCTCAAATAGCAATCCTATGACTAGGAACATTTAAGAGTTAAGTACTAAGAAGTATAGATCTCATTTTCTCAACACTTTGAAAAACTATCTTCTTAACTTATACTCTATGGACTATATCATGTATATTAAAATGAAATAAAGTAAAAACATGATAAATAAACTTGCCCTTTTATTTAATTAAGTAATGAATGTTCCTAGTACAACCCTAAAACATCTTCTATATGATTGATCTTAGAGCATACTACTAACAATCTCCCATTTGCACTAATACCAATCGACCATGTATCTAATACCCATCTTCTAAAGATGTCAGTCTAGTTGTTGTTATGTTAGTGCTTTTGTAAGTGGGTCCGCTATATTATTTATTAATACAATCCTTTAGATACACACATCACCCCTTCCAATGATCTCTTAGATCATGTTGAATGCCACTATAAGTGTTTGGAAATTTTATGAGACTTTGATTCCTTGGCTTGAGCTATTGCCCAATTATTGTCACTATACAGTAGTATATGTGACTCAATTGTAGGAACTAATATAAGTTCATTATTGAACTTCTTAATCCAAACAACTTATTTGGCATCTTTTGAGGCGATAACATACTCAACCTTAGTAGTTGAATTCACTGTAATATCTTATTTGCAGCTTCTCCAACTAACTACTCCATCATTTAAGATAGACACAAATCCAGAAGTAGATTTTTTTTTTATCTACATTAGACTAAAAGTTTTAGTCTATATATCTATCCACACGTAGCTCTCATTCTCCATACACAAGAAATGCATCCTTAGTTCTTTTCAAGTACGTAAGAATGTTTTGACTACATTCCAATATTCCAAACATGAAATTTGACTGATATCTGCTAGTAACACTTAGAGCATATCTGATATCAAGTTTTTGTACATAACATAAAATACATGAGTCTACCTATTGCTAAGCATAAGGAATATTGCTCATGTTATTTCTCTCTGTTGATGTTGTAGGACTCATGTCCTAAGAGAGATGAATTCCTCCTTTGAAATATAAGAATCCTTTCTTGGAATTCTACATGTTAAATCTCATTAACATCGCGTCTATATATAAGGATCGGAGTACCTGAAGCAACCTTCAAGATCTATTTCTATATACCTTTATACCTAGTATATCAGATGTTTCTACCAAATCCTTCCGTGTAGAAATTATATGAAAGCTATCATTTGACTGATGAGAGCATCCTAACATTATTCACAATGAATAGGATGTGTTCTATAAAAAATACCAAAAATGTGATAGAACTCCCACTAACCCTCACTACAACAAAAATCAATTTTTGCCACGATTTTTTTCGTTGTTAAATTAAAAAAAAAAAGTTGCAAAAAATAAAAAAAACGTAGCTAAAATCTATTCTACCAGCGTAAAAAATTTTAAAAATAATAATTAAATTAATTTTTAGCGACGTAAAAAAATCGTCGCAAATGTATTTTTCATAAATAAAAAATTAAAAAACATAATTTAATTAATATTTCTCGACGTAAAAAAATTATCGCAAATAAATTTTTACATAAATAAAAATTTTAAAAAATAATAATTAAATTAATTTTTTGCGACATAAAAAAATTGTCGCAAATATATTTTTCATAAATAAAAAATTTTAAAAATAATAATTTAATTAATTTTCAGCGACGTAAAAAAATCGTCGTAAATAATTTTTTAAATAAATAAAAAATAATTAATTAAATTATGGATGGGTACACAACTGCATTTGAGCTATGAAATAGGAGCCGCAAAAAAAATTGATTTCATCCATATTGAGGTATAATCACACCATTCAAATATTTAATAAGACTAAGAAAAGGAAAATTTTATTGATAAAAGAAACAATTACAAGAATCAAAGAACATATTTGTTTGAAAGAATACAAGAAATGGCTTTAATCCGTCAAGATGATTAAAACCATTTTTAACTACTTTACTGCATCTTCTGATCTTCACATTGAGCTCCTGGAATCTGTCCAGTTACTGAGCATGCTGTTCAGTACCTTTGAACCAGAAAGATTTTGGCAAACACTTGGTAGCCTTCAAAATGCACAGGCAGCAAGCATCTCCAATGCACAACATCACCCTGGGCATCATCCCAGCAGTTATCCTCAAACCCTTCACAGTAGTGTAGCAGAAACACAGCAGATACAGCCCCATTAAACTACCTGCTCCATTCAATATACCTCTTGAATTGATTCTGCTAAAACACATCCAGCTGCAAGCAGTACCCCACAGACAGAAACAAAGGCAAGGTACCCTTAATCATAAACTCTCCTACATGATCAATAGGTGCATACATACAAATTGTTTGTGTTTTGCAAATAGCAGCTACAAGGAATAATAAAAAGCAAGCTGGTCTGTAAGCTGATTGAATTGCTAGGACTAATGTATTCAGTAAGAATATTGCCAGCCCCAACGTTAGGATACAAAATATGACAGTATAAATGCATGAATGAAAGGATTGGCTGGATTGGAAATACCTTTTGCATCAATGCCACCAACTCAGGGCTATCTGGTATTCCATGTTCTAGAAAGGCCTGAAGCATTATGTATATAGTTAGTGGCTCTTTCTTTTATACCAAACACATGGCAAACATGGCATAGGATTTAAAGTGAATGCACCAACCAATCCTACCACTCCCGATATATGGAGGACTATCCAAAATATATCTTAGATAGTTTATTGAAATATGTTCATATAATGATTTCACATACATTCATCATGCACGAATTTTAAGTGTTGATCCAAAAAGCAACCTTCTCTTGATCGTTAAGGCCCTGTAAGTCAACCAATGCAAGTTTCCCAAGTAGGAGTCTGAGAAAACAAGAGACACTATATTTAAGCCCAAACAGATATGAGACATATGAATTCAAATTCTGAGCAAAGGTCCGTAATTTCCGATACCCCTAGCAGTGCAACACTGTGCACCAATTATCCTTTCTAGATAACACATATTAAGATACAAAGAAGACTGCTGTGATGTTCGAATTTTCAAAAGAAACAATACAAAATATAGGACATTTTTCATGGTCAACAAACTTTTCATGCTTAGTTTCAAGAGAAAATTCTTGACCAGGTGAGCCATCAATAGTGTCCAGATCTGCAGGCTGGACACTATGCCATAACTGTGTCATAGTGGGTGTTTCCTTGCAAGCACGTGACATAACTTTATTTGGACAGTTAAACACATGAATTAAATTCCTAAAATTTCTGGGTAACACTGAACATGCACATAAACTGTATTTTATGTACTAAAAGCTGTAAATGAACATGCACGTCAAGGGCCAGCAACTGGCAGATGCTCTCTATGTCAATGCTCTTCTACTTCTCTAGAAAAGAAAAAACAAATAATAAAAGCTAGATAGCAGCACAAATAGGACTAAATTTGAAGTTTGCCAACATTAGCCATGAAAAAACAAGAAATCCACAAACCTGTTAGAAAATATCGAAAGGCATAGGAATAGAAATCCAGAAAATTTGATGGCCTCCTAACCTTTTGAGAGAAGGAAAAATACAAGAGGGGAAAAAAGGAAAGGGGGACAATCAGCATACCTATATGAGTTACAGTATAGAACTAACAGAATTATACAGCAAGTGGATGAAACAACCCAAAAACAATCTTTGAATCGATTCAGTAGCTGACTAATTTTATTAATGGATGGAAGATAATGCAGGCGCACTATGTGGTTCTTCATTTAAGTCACCCTTGCCTTCATTATATGTTTTTTTTTAATTTCTTAAAAAAATTAGCATCTTGTTTTCTAGACATGCATCTAGAACATACGACTGCTTATTCTAAGAAAAGAAACGGAAACCTTTAAACCAATCAGTGCAAGGACTACTCGCTATTTTACCATGGTTCTTGGATGGAGAATTTGCATCAGCTCAATAAAGACTTCAGTAATACAGAGATCTTGCATAAGCAAAAAGGGAATGGTTGAGTTATTATAAGCCATATATAATGAAACCCCAGAAAGTTTCCACAATAACTCCACAAACCATCATACCCGGCCACCAATTTCCTCTTAAAGCACTATTTATGTTGTTTCCATTCTGATCATCAACTCCACCATCTTTCTTGAACTGATCCAAGTAAGAAAAACACTAAATAATTAGTGGTAGTGTTAAAAATTGGGGCAACTAGTTTATATATCTCCCAACATCATTATTGTCTCACATCTATAGGGATTCATGAAGGGATGGAACTACACTTACAATGTGCTGAGAAGTAGCGGTCTGGCTATTTGAAGAATAAACTTCTTGCCCTCCATAGTAGATTGATGAGCTGAAATAACATGGTTCTACTGTTCCATTTTGATATATGGAACTCTTGTCCTTGCAGGGTATGCCTCCACTTTGAGTCATATAACCTGACAACATAGAGAAAAAAAAAAAACCCTATTTAGTTGACCTCCTTTAGGGGAGAGGTCCACCACAAGTTGACCTCCTTGCAGATCTAGACAACCAAATTTGTTTGGGGAAATGGGGGCAGGGCACATATTAGGAGAATTATCAATAACAAAGATAGAAGTTACCACATTCTCCTTTTGAGGAGGTTCCTCTGAATGCATAAGGTCCACAACGCTAGATTCTGGAATATTAATAGAACATTCAACCCGAGGCTCGCTCACAGTCATAGGCGGATCAACAATTACCACTGAAGAAATGGTTTTCCCTTTGTTTATAAATTTTGTATGTTGCTTCTCACTGCTGGACTGAGTTTGTCTAGAACAGGAGGAATTTTTATGTCCAAAGATCTTACATCGAAGAAATTGCTTAGGCTTCCGTTGGTACTCAACTTTGATCTCAAGTAATTCACTCGAATCCCCAGAGCCCACATCCAAATCAAAGGAATTGACCAGTTGCTCAGCTGCATGAACCTCCACACAAACACGTGCGAAACTAATCCTCTTTTTAGTGGAGGTAAGGGTGTCAGCATATAATGGTTTACCTACAGCACTAGCCAAGTGACTGATTCCTTTCTTACTCCAAAATTGAAGGGGTACATTATGCAGTTTGACCCAAACAGGAAGAACAAAGTGGTCCTCCTTAGCCATCCTGAAACTAGGAAACCGTTTCTTCAAGATCATAGATCTCCCAGAGAAGAGCCATGGACCAGCTTCCACCACTTTGACTATTGCCTCATCATCCATGAATTTGAAGTAGAAGAACCCACTGTCATTAACATAAACCTCTAGCAAGCCTAGCTTATCCCACATCTTATGAGCTAGAAAACTCACAGTAGAAATTGAAGTTTCTTCTCGATGAAATAACCCACCAAGCAGGTTTGCCAATCTTTGCTACCTTGAGTAGCTACTTCCTGGGGAGGGGGGGTTGAACAATAATCCTAGAATCACGTTTGATAGGCTCAATATATCTGAGCTTCATTTGTTCCATTGGGTTAGAGGATTTGCCAGCACTGCTAGAGCTCAGAATTTGGTTCCAAGGTGTACTGTAGGCTCCACCTACAGTACCGCAATCCATACCACAACTCGGACCGTTGCTCCCCTTCTCCAAGTTGGCCTTGATAGGTCCCTTGGTTGTGGTAGATATAGTGAGTGGTTCCTATTGTGAATTTGAGGCAGCTTTCATCAATTTGCAACTGTCGGCAGTGACCATGCCTCCTCGCTCTGGATCAGACCCCACAATGAAAGGGCCATTAGAACTGTCCCCCATGAGTAGATGAGAAACAAAACAAAAAAAAGGTGGGTAGGAAGAGATGGAGTGAAGACACGAAGAGAAAAAGGTCGATTGAAGCCGAAATCAGACTAAAATTGGGGAACTTAGAGCAAAGACAGAGCAAGCGAAACAGGGAAAAAACAAAGCAGGGGAAGAAGAAGGAAGGAAATCTAAAGGAGAGGGTTGGGTGGAAGGAGAGATGAAGAAGAATGGGTTGGTTGAGGTCTAGAACCTAGGGTTTTAGGGGGTTGGGAATGAAGGTCGCTCTGAACAGTCTTGTTGCCTTCCCTCCCCTCCCATTAACATTTGTTTACAAGAGAAAGTAGATTTATTGTTTGTCACCACCTATAGGCACAGTTATCAAGTAACTAAATTGTAGCTTTCAACAAGCTTCCCTTCCAAAAATACTCACATTATTTGTACTAACATTATTTGTTATCTAGGGTTAATTACAAATATTCCCTCCCTCGGGTTTCAATTTCAACCACTTGCCCCCTTAAAGTTTTTGCCTTACTAAATTGACTAACAAAGTGGATGGAAATAATAAAATCTCTAAAATAGCCTCAACCCTTTATACAATTATTTTTTTCCTCTACATACCCAACACTTTGAAACACATCCCTACATAGGACATAGCCCTCGAAGACCCCAACTCCAACACCCCCCAACTCAATTCGTGAATTTGTACAAACTCTATCTCTCTTTTCAAATGGACACTACCTAGGTTTAGGGTGTATTATTCAGATGTGGGGTGGGTTTCACTTATGGAGGCAGGGAGTTCACTTGTTTATGGGGGGGGGGGGGGAAGGGTTTTAGCAAAGGACGAGGTTTTGTGGCCACTTGATGGATTTCCATGAGAAGATGAAATTTTTAGGTTATTTTTAGAACAAAAGATAGAGATTAGGATAATTTTGTATTTTTTGTTGAATTTTAGATCACCTAAAATTTTTTTGACAAATTTCTGTCATTTTTAATGGTGGGCAACTAACAGTTGAAGTTAATTGACAAAAATTCAAACTTTAAGGGGGCAAATTTTTGAAATTAAGACTTGTGAGAGTTAATTGCAACATGTCCTAAATTTATAGGAGTATTTTGTAATTAACCCTTGTACATTTCTGAAGGTAATAGTTGTGCCAAAGTTATTTACAATGAACCCCTTGTTTATAATGTAGAACAAACAATCTGTATAATAAAGTGCAAAAGTTGAAGACATAAAAATGACTTTTGTTTTTCGCGGTTGAAATCGTTTTAAATTTTATTTAAAGTTAATTCGACAATTAATACTAACTCCCAAAATTTAATAAGGAAAATAGGCCCTCTTAAAGTGTGTTTAAATTTGGAGTAACTTTTCAAAAGTGCTTGTACGATTTATGACTTTTCATAAGCACTTTGACAAAAAAATAGTATTTGAAACAGCTTATTTTAATTATTTTCAAATAAATCAAAAGTAATTTTACCACTTAAATAAGTAAAGTCTTGTTTGGCAAGCATTCCAAATGGGCTTCCCACAGATGTAAGCACTTCGCGAAGAGATAAGAATGTTTGGTATCCAAAAACAAATTGGACTTATCAAAAAATGAATCTCCAAAATGCCCAGTATGGAGAAGTCTCCTCGGAGAACTTTTGGAAATGGGCAATTTTGCTCTTCCGGCTACAACCCACAACATCCCTTGATTCATATCACACCATAACCACCATAAAACCACCACCAAACTCCCAAAAATATCTCAACTTCTTCTTTCCATCACAGCTATTTGACCACCATTGATCATAAACACACACAATCACCTACGATGGCAGCTATAAAAAATAGTTTTGTCAAATAGTTTTTCTTATTTTCTGTCATTCTTGGAGAGAGAGAGAGAGGATTTGATCATTATTGCACTATTTGCTGGTAGAGGGCTAGAGAAAGAATAGTGTGGAAGTCTGATGGCGTGAGTGGAGAGAGAGAGGATAGAATGAAAAACTGTAAATCAATGTGTGTGGAGGTGCTATACATAGAGATAACTCAGTGAAGGCGTAATAGTAATGAATAATTTTTTTTAGCTATTTCAACTGATTGTATTAGTTTTATTTTTACAATTGCACTTTTAAATTGAAGGTTCACCAAACATCTAATGTAAGCCCATTTTATGAAGTCCAATTCAAAAAATCCATTCTTGTGATGGACTTTTAGATTAAAAATTACACTAAGCACAATCTAACTTGTACTATTTTAAAATTACTATCACCACTGTCGCTGCCTCTACCCCACCCCCCCCCCACCACCACCACCACCACCACCACACCACCACCACCCCCACTGTCGCCACCACCATACCACCACCGCCACCGCTGCCACCCCACCACCTATTACTTCCACCGCCATTACTCACCACCATCATTATCTTATTATTGATCACTATCAGCATCATTCCACCACCACTGTCGCCCGCCGCCACCCACTACTGCAAACCACGACCAATAGTAGTCACCCACCACTGCCGCCATCCACTGTCACTCACCCTTACCGCCACTGTCGCCCACCACAACCATCATCGTTGCCACCCACGACTATCACCACCATTATCGTTGTCGTCGCCCACCACATCCATTATTGTCTCTCACCACCACTACTACCGCTCACCCCTACTACAACCGGTGTTTTAATTTCTTTCTTCCTCATCTATATTTGTGATTTAATTTTGGGAATAAATACAAATATGTTTATGATTAACATTTTTTTTATTACTCCGTACCTTCAGGCAGGACAATAACTAATTTTAATATACCACCAATCCGACAAGTAATAAACATTAAGGCAATAGGTGTCACTTTAGCTTTAATGGTTTAAGGTCATTATCAGTTTGACTCATCAAACCTATTAATAGATTATGGCCCACATAATTTAGACATGACACCAAATTCGAAATAATGTATTTGCAGTCCTATTATAACAGTTGTGGCAATCTCAAATTAATTTTTAAAATTGTATTTTTAACCTAAATGTTTATATTATTATCGAATTCGAATTTTCTTCTTCTACATTAATGTTTTTCGCGATAAATACCATAGAAATCTCTGTTGTTGAGAAGATCTCTATATTGAACAAGTCACTCATATTGAGAATGCTTGCGGACACCCAGACTCTTACTCCATTTTTGCTTACCAAATGCATTTGGATCTGGCAAACAAAATTCGTAAGGATTTCGTCAGAGTAGTATTGTTGATTTTTATTTGTTGGAATTTGAGAAATAAAGGATCTGAAAAAATTTCTATAAATGGGAGCCAACCTTTTGAGAGTTAGAAATCCTCTTTGACATGATTACAGTGGAGTTGAGATTTTATCTCAAATGGGTTTTCTCTAAACTGATTGTTTCTCGTGGTAGTTTTCTCTAAAATGTTGGCTTGATTGTTGACTTAATCAATCACTATCATTGATTTAATGCGGGTCCCATAATTTATTGGGACTCGCTTCATATTCCATGCCTATAATTGATCAAATCAACATTTTAAGTCCATATAGCATTTTTCCTTATTTATACTTTTTTTTTCGGAAGGTAAACTATATACATAAAGGAAAAACACAAGAACAAAACAGAGGTAGATGCTTACCTTATTTATACTTGAAGATTGTCAACTAGTTGTACACCAATCATTAGATTAATCTCAATGACCACCAATATTTTCCTCAACTCTCTGCCATTAAAGTAGGATAAAATACTCCAAGCACGATTTAACTACTTGACCCAGTGCTTGACAAATTTCCTTGTTGTTTCCTAACCTATAAACATTACCTTTTAGCATGTATAGTATATGAATAAAGGGGAGTGTCACTCCCCTAGGGATGATGTCAAAAGAAAGGGCAACGCCTAGTGGGATGAATGAGATTTCAAATGTGAGTATGTGTGAACAAAAGTGCTCCCCAAGCGCAAGGAGACTTTCACGGATCGTGTTTTACTTGGTGGTATTCCAAGGTCATTTCCACGGGGAAGGAAGTAAACCGAGGGGAAGGTGATTTTGGGAGAAAGAAAGTGTAAATCTTTGATTGTTGGAAGTTGTTTGATGCTAGTAAAATGAGAAACAAATGTTGGCAAATCCAAGACGTCACTCCAATAGGAATACCGTCTCAACTCAAACCCTCCTCCAATAGAACATGAATGAACGATTGATTCGTGGGAAGCTAGGGGTAAGATTGGTGAGTATCTAAGC